ATTAGCCAGGCGTGGTGGCAGACACCTGTAGTCCTAGCTACTCAGGAGGCTGAGCCAGGAGAATCACTTGAACCCGGGAGGCGGAGGTTGCGGTGAGCCAAGATCCGCCATTGCACTCCAGCCTGGGCGACAGAGTGAGCCTCCATCTCAAAAAAAACCAAACCAAACCAAAACAAAACAAAACAAAAAAACATTTGAGACATTTTATCAGTTGTCCCAATAGCAGATGGTAACTGCTTTTTCGATCCTTTGCTTGCATCATGGAGTTCTTTTAGGCTTGAAGTGCCTTCCCTAGATGAATTGCTTTAGGATATTTCTTATTTGTTATTCCCAAGCATAAATAAAATACAAAGTTAATATTTTCCCAGGATTGCACAGAATATGTAATTCAGCTATTCAGTATCTTATCAGAGTGGAACTGCAAACTCAAGCATACTCTTCTGTATATTCATAGAACATCTTCATCCCATGCAAATGTATCATATGTACTGAGTATCTATGATCACTTATAAATACAAGAAATGTGTATGAGTAATGAGGACTCTGCTATACTTTTGCCTGCTTTGAAAAAATGCTTTAAACCACGTATTTTCAGGATTTGTGTATAAAAGACTTGGCCATGCTTAATTTTTAAAAATAAAGGTAGAAAGTGGACAAACTATTTTAAATATTTGATATGAAAAAATTATTTAATTTGTTTTAATGTATGTATCAGAGAAAACAAAATCCTTGCCTACACAGAAATAATTACTTCTGCTACCTTGAAGTTAGGATATCTTATAATAAAACTGAAATGGCCATGAGAAATAATTGCTCTTTTATTTCATTTTCTTCCATCTTAATTCCTCATCTTTATTATCAATTGCTCTTAGATAGATCACAGAATTCATGGCCCACTGGTCTTAAGATAAAGAGTTAACATTTCAAACTCCTTGATTTGTAATGAAATCAAAATGAAACATTTAAAAAAATTAGGAGCTTAAATGCCAAGATTTTATAACATGAACATTGTACAACTGTACTTATTTGGGTCTAATTATTTTCATATTTCTCTAATAAACCCCACTAAGCAAATAAAAAAATATGTTGGCACTGATGACCTTGTCTTTATTATTAAATTATTATGATGCTCCACAAGGTCTTGTCTCTTTTTTTCCTGCCCTAAACATTCTGCCCCATTTTCTAGATAACTTACAGCTGGCACTTAAGTAGGATTTTATAGGCTCTAATAGTGCATTATCTTATTTGATCCTTATAACTGTGCTGTGAAAATGGTTGGTCAGTTCTTAGAATCTATGTATTATGAATGTGACCTTAAACAGTTCCTTAAACTCTGTGAGCATTAGTATCTTTATTATGGTATTTGCCACATCACTTAAGGCTGTTTGGGGGATAAAATGAGAAAATGCATACAAATACCTTCATGTGAACGATTCAGTAAATATCAAATACCATTGGTACTATTGTGGAGGATCTCTTGGTTATTAATTGATGAAGTAAGCCTGAAAAGTCTGGGTCTTCTAACTTCTGCCCCGGCGTTCTGCAGGCTTCCCATTGCCCGAAAGAAAATGTCTAAAGGTGTAATAAAAACCTTTATGTTCTCCCTCCTGTTTATTTTTTAGCCCTATATTCTCCAACCCTTTAACCCACTGGCACTCCAGCCAAGCCAACCTGCTGGCAGACACTCTCTCCTGCTCTTCCAGAGTACAGACGGTGTAGAATCTCTTTCTGTTCAGTGAACTCTACCCATCCTTCAGGACCCAGAGCAGCTGTTGGATGAGTGAGCTCTGTGGTCCCTCAGACAGTTAGCACCTACTGCCTCTGTATTTCCATAACATTTTCTTCTTCTCTTTGTTTAGCGGCTATCATCTCAATGTGTAGCATTTTGTTTGTCTCCTACACAAAACTGTGCATGCTTTAAAGTCAGAAATTTTGTTTTCAAAAATTCCTGTCCCCTATCTCTATCCATTGGTTAATATTTGCAGAATTGATTCTAGACTCAATTTTCTTCTTTTTTTTTAATGCTGTCACATATGCTCAGGATAGCTTTGGAAGATCATAGAGAATGAGGGCTCTAAACAGTGTTTGAGGAAACATTTAACCTAGCAGATCTGGTTCTTCTGGTTCGATTGTGGTTCCCATCTGTAGAGAATGTTTTACTTGTTTGCCTCATCATGGACAAGCAGGCTGGCTAAACTACAAATTGTTCCATAAACATTGAACTTCTCTCCAGGACTGCCTATTCCTCCACCTTCATTTCCTGCAAGTCATTTCTTGTTCGCTGTGCACGAGCTGCACTGATGTCCCTACACATCCCAAGCTGGCTTTCTTCCTCATCGCCTTTGCAGGTGCTGTACTCTGCTTATCAGGGTCTTTTCCCATCTTCCTGGGGCTGCCTCTCTGCTCTTTCAGGTCTCGTTAAATATCAGCTTCTTTCACGAGTGTGAAAACTCGAGTTATTCCCTTCAGAGCTCCTACTTGTTTTCTTCATGACATTTTAAGTCATAATTTATATTAGGTTGGTGCAAAAGTAATTGCATTTTTTGTCAAGAACAGTCATGACAAAAACCATAATTAGTTTTTCACCAACCTAATAGTAATTTTTGTGCCTGCTTACATATATTCATCTGTTTCTCTCATTAGAAACGAGTTTCATGAAGGCAAGGACTACTTCTGTCTTGAGTACTGTGTAACAACGTTTCACGATAATTATATATTGAATGGATACATAAAGAAAAAAATGGATACATAAAGAAAAAAATGGATACAATAAGGACAGATGTTACATATTGGGGTATCTATCAAATATAGCATTTTAGTAAGCTAAACAACTTCAGACAACAAAGACTTCACAAGGAGAACCAATCAGAGAGTCAATCAGTTAACAAGCCAGCAGTGACCCACTGGTCATTTGGGAAGCAAACTTTGTTAGGTGTCCTACTAAGTACAGGAGATAGGCCAATATACAAACCATGGCTTTCCATTGTTTTTAGGATGATGAACAAAACACTGGGTGATGTGCTTCAGACCCTCTCAGCTTCAGGCGACTATCCCCCTCGTTGATTGTGACACAGCCATACTGGCCTTCTTTCAACATCTCCGAAATGCCATTTTACTCATTGCAAACATTACCCCACTTTATTCATTCAAGAAGATCCACAAGATGAATTTACCTCTCTCACAGGCTCTTACTGTTTCTTGTCTCTTTCCTAAGTTTTCCCAAAGTTTCCTGATGAACGCATCTTTCAGCCTATGCTCTTTATTGCCAGGCTGTTGTTGCAACAGACGTCTGTCTTTCTGTACTCCTCTGGGACTCTTGTGACTTTCTATAAACCAAATAAACAAAAACACACATTTTACCCTAATGCAACTTGGAAGAGAATTCTATGAATCGTCGTCAGTCTCAACAATAGAGTTAGTGTGTTTGCTTGAGAGACCATGGTGCATATTTGAAAGACTATAAAAAGTTCATTAATGCAATGGAAAAGTGCCTCAAGAAGGTCACAAAAAAGGAGGAGAAAAGTTAAAACACAGAAGCAATCAAGTTGAATTTCATCGTAGAGTTTCATTTTAGTCCTTTAGAAAAAGTCTTTTGGGCAAATAAATTCACTAATATTAGAATGCTTTTTATAATATAAACAGCACATTTTTACCAGCTGTACTTATCAAAAATTAGGGGAATTAATCTTAAGAAAAACAAAGGTAGAATTTTACTTGCAGTTCCTCCTACTTTGCCAAACAAGAACCTTTTTGTCCCTCGTGTTTTGACTACATTAACATTTATGTTGTTTGCATACAGTTGATAAAACTGCACGGAATATAGTGTCTTTCCAAATTCATCAAGACATACCTTGTGGTTCCGCAGTATGAACTGGTGATTAATGCAGCTTGTTACGCCTCTAGTGTGACTTTATAAACACAAGCCAGCTATATTCATCTTCTAAAGTTGAAAAATGAGAACTAGCTTTTCTCCACTTAACTTTTCTAAAGTTTCTGCAAGATGGTGCTCATGTTACAGTTAAACATCAGCTGTACAGCTTTCTCTTTCTTTAGCTATTAGTCCCTTAGGTATAAGTCTGTAATCTAAGAGAGGTCAACTGTATCCAAATAAAAAGTATGCCAGAATGTCTCTGGCATAAATCTCTCCCTAAAGATTCAGTACTGTTACCTCAGGAGACAGGAAAAAACACTATGCTTTATCTAAAAATCTAAGAACTTAATTTATTTAAAAAATAAAACTGAGTTATCCAGTTATCCTTATAGAGAGCTATATAAGCACAGAATTTCCATGTTACTCATCAAATTGTTTTTCTTTTTACTAAGTTTGGAAAGCACTTAAATAACCATAGACAAAATATAGCTGTACAGGAACTGAATGGCTATTATTGCAGAACACTTTTTCTATTATAAACTACAGAGAGGGCACAGTAATTAAAAGTCCTTTTGAGCATCATAGTCATCGCACAGTATCCAATTAATTTTAGAAGCAGCTTAGGGCCAATTATTGACAAACATATGCAGTAGATGGAGAATATCTTTCTATTTAGATCTCAGTTGCTTGTCTAAGTTTCTGAATTTCTTTACTAATAATTAATTGTTCTATTCCCAATAACAGTCTTAAGATGGAATGCCTCTTATGGGTATATACATTTTCCTTATTGCACTTGTCTTACATGTAAATCCATCTCTTATATAGATTGTATCTTGAAGCCCAGAGGCTTCCCATCATTACAAGAGGAAGTGAGTCCCAGTGGAGTCACACTGAAAGCTGCTTTCCATGACAGCATTGCTGTCTCTGATGGGTCACACAAATCTTAAATCAGAAGTCATTTAAAACAGTTTCACTACTGGGAATGTATTTACTGATGCCTCCTAATTGCAAATAAGCATAACAAAAACAAGCAAGCTTCCCATCATTTAATGCCATTAATTTCCAAATATTCCATTTACTTATAATTGCTGCCTCTCCTTCTCTCTTCTATCATGAACTATTTTTTCAGGCTGGTGGTTTGATGCTTGTGGCCCCTCCAATTTAAATGGAATGTTCTATACTGCGGGACAAAACCATGGAAAACTGAATGGGATAAAGTGGCACTACTTCAAAGGGCCCAGTTACTCCTTACGTTCCACAACTATGATGATTCGACCTTTAGATTTTTGAAAGCACAATGTCAGAAGTGATTATAAAAACAACAAAGAAATCTGGAGAAGCTGCCAGGTGAGAAAGTGCTTGAAAACTTCAGAAGCAAACAAAATTGTCTCCCTTCCAGCAATAAGTGGTAGTTATGTGAAGTCACCAAGGTCCTTGACTGTGAATCTGGAGCCTTTTGAGTTCACAGGAGTCTCTACTTGGGGAAACAGTGCTCACGTGGCTCCACTATAGAAAACTCCATTGACTGTCGAGCTTTAAAAAGGGAAGAACCTGCTCAGCTTTGCTGTGCTTCAAACTACTACTGGACCTTATTTTGGAACTGTGGTAGCCAGATGATAAATATGGTTAATTTCATGTAAAACAGGAAAAAAAAAAAAAAGAGTGAAAAAGAGAATATACAGGAAGAATAGAAACAAGCCTGCCATAATCCTTTGGAAAAGATGTATTACACCAGTGAAAAGGTGTTATATCTATGCAAACCTACTAACAAATTATACTGTTGCACAATTTTGATAAAAATTTAGAACAGCATTGTCCTCTGAGTTGGTTAAATGTTAATGGATTTCAGAAGCCTAATTCCAGTGTCATACTTACTGGCTGATTTCTTCTTACCCATCTTCAAATGAAAATTCCATTTTTGTAAGCCATAATGAATTGTAGTACATGGACAATAACTGTGTAGTAGAAACAAACATACTCTGATTTTTGATACAGTTTTCAGAAAAAAAAAAAATGGACATAATCAAGTAGGGATGTATGTGGTGAAAACTTACCACCTCATACTATGGTTTCCATTTACTCTAAAAACTGATTGAATGATATATAAATATATTTATAGCCTGAGTAAAGCTAAAAGAATGTAAAATATATCATCAAGTTCTTAAAATAATATACATGCATTTAATATTTCCTTTGATATTATACAGGAAAGCAATATTTTGGAGTATATTAAGTTGAAGTAAAACCAAGTACTCTGGAGCGGTTCATTTTACAGTATCTACTAGCATGTGTATACATACATGTAACTTCATTATTTTAAAAATGTTTTTAGAACTTCAATACTCACCCTGTTATGTCTTGTTAATTTAAATTTTGCTAATTAACAGAAACATACTTACCAGATTCACACTGTTCCAGTGTCTATAAAAGAAACACTTTGAAGTCTATGAAAAATAAAATAATTATAAATATCATTGTACATAGCATGTTTATATCTGCAATAAACCTAATAGCTAATTAATCTGGAATATGCAACATTGTCCTTAATTGATGCAAATAAACACAAGTGCTCAAAGAAATCTACTATATCCCTTAATGAAATACATCACTCTTCGTATTTGTCTCCTTCAGTCCATTCCCTTAGGCAATTTTAAATTTTTAAAAATTATTATCGGGGGGAAAAATTGGCAAAACTATTATACGTAAAGGAAATATATACAAAAAGAAAATTAATCGTAGTCACCTAAGAGAAATTCTAACTGCTAGTTGCTATAAATAACTTAATGGGAATATTCCTATGGGATAATCTATTTCAAGTGAATTTTTGGGGTGCTTGAAGTTACTACAGTATTTTTTCGAGAAGTCTTCTCTGCCTCTAAGTGTCCGAGGTTATAACAGTAAACAGTTTTTATTAAAACATGAGTCACTATGGGATGAGCAAATTGAAATAAAGCTATTGGGTCTCCTCTCTTACAAAAGAGACAGTTGTTGGCAAGGTAGCAATGCCAGCTTCAAACTTGGTGACTGGATCCACTATGCCTCAATGGTTTCCTCCATTTGCAAAAATAAAGCTATTCACATTGTCAAGAAAAATATGTTTTAAAGTCTACAATCAAGTCTTTTTTATATTTATGTGTCTGTATTCTACCCCTTTTTGCCTTACAAGTGATATTTGTAGGTATTATACCATTTTTCTATACTTGGTGGCTCCTCCATAGCAGGCAAGCCTCTTCCTCTAAAAACCTTCTCGACTGTTTTCAATTAAGGGAAAGAAAATGAGTATTTTGTCCTTTTGTGTTCCTACAGACACTTTTTTAAACCAGTTTTTGGATAAAGAATACTATTTCCAAACTCATATTACAAAAAAAATAAAGTAATAAAAAAAAAGAAAGCATGATATTTACTATTTTGTTGTCTGGGTTTGAAAAATGAAATATTGTTTCCAATTATTTATAATAAAGCAGTGTAAAATGTTTTATGACTCCATTATGTGTATTATGTAATACCTACATGTTTATGGCAAGTTAACATATGTATTCTTTGCATTTAATTATTTCAGAATAGGGTAATTAGGTATTCGAATTTTGTCTTTAAAATTCATGTGGTTTCTTGCAAAGTTTTTCATATCAACACATTATTTGATTTAAATAAAATTGAAAGTAATATTTGTGCAACTTCATTTTATTTTTAATACATATTTTGTGAAATTTAAATTAGAGATTTATGAAGTTATAGAATCATTGACAAAAATCTACCAAATGAACTAAAGCCTCAATCTTAGAAAAACTTTCAGTCTTGGATGAATTAAGAAAGCTTAGCCTCATTAGAATGGTAGATCAAAGCAGTGGGTCTCAGGCCCATGTCCCTACAATATGATTGTCGTGTCCTGCCAATTATTAAATGCCACATTATCATGTGACAATGGACAATATATTCTGGGAACTCTGAATGTAGAATAAGAGGATGTGTGTTAAAAATTTGAGTTTGGTATACAGGAGGAAAAGGAAGGAGCATAAAGGAGATGCTACTTGTCCCTCTCACCTAACATGCCGCCAGCAATCTTATCAGTCCTTGCAAGAAATTTCTTACCTGTGGGCTTGATTCTTCTCCTATTTCCACATTGATTCAAACCTTCCTTAATTTTCTTTCACCTAGATGATTGGAAAAGACACTCTTTCATCCTGCCTCTCTGTGCTATTATTCACCTCATAACCATAAAAGCTTATTCCTTCTAAAGCCAGACTTCTGAACATGGTTTTTCCCAGCTCAAAACATTTCAATGTTTCCTCACTACTCCATGAATTTAAAATAAACGGGTCAGGTTAATCTCAGCCTTCATTGCCAGACAACTTCATTCCACCTACTCAGTATTCCAATCAAAACAAGGAAGCCCCATGGTCGACTACTTGCAAAAATGATGTCTATTCTTCTCCTTTCTGTATTCATACCTTTTGCAATGCGAATTTGCAGCTTGTTTCATAAAGAGATAAACTCTATTTCCTTACTCCCCGAATGGCTAGCTCGGGCTTGCTGTAGCCAATAGAACATAACAGAAGTGATGACTCTGTGCCAGTTCTGAGTCCGGTCGGAAACATTCTACCTTTGGCATGAAAAAAAGCCCAGCGTAGCCTAATGGAGGATTAGAGACCACGTGGAGCAAAGCCTAGTCTACCAGCTGAGACCAGCCTAGACCAGCCAGCCCATAGCAGACCCATGGATGATTCAAGATAAATAAGTGATCTCAACTGAGATAAACTGAACCTGGCTCACATCAGCAGAACTGCTCAGCTAACATGCATAATCATAAGAAACAATAATGGGTTGTTGTTTTAAACCACTGCATTGTTTTTCAGAGTTTTGTTAAACATCACTATTGTAGCAATAGCTAACTGATACAGAATACAGTGCTGCAGCTGCCACCTTCCCTTCTGCCAGCCATGTGAGTTTTATGCATCGTGAACTTTCAGAACCACTGTCTCGATTGTCCCTTCTCTAACAACCTCTAACAACCCTCTGGGATGCATAAAAACATTAGTTGTTTCATGACCTCTTTTCTGATGCCGTCTATTAATTGTCACCCTCTCTATACTCACATACTTTTACAACTCAACATATTTTGCTTGAGTTTTATAAAAGGCTGCCTCTTACTTTTTTTTTTTTTTAATTCCCCACAGTACCTACCAGAAACTTGTTATTCGTTGAATGGAATTGAATTGCTTTGAAAGACTAAGAAATCCCTTCTATCTATACAAAATTCAACTCTCAGATTTGACCACTGTGTTGAGACATTTATTTTCAGACTTTAAACTTAGGCCATTCTCCTCCAGAAAAAGATGTCTGAATTTATCATTTTAGTTAGCTCAGATGTCTACTTTATTATCAGCTTCGCTGAAACATACGTATTATATAAATTGAGGGAAACCTGCATGCTTCTTCTAAATTTAAACTTATGTAAATATATAAAATGTACTATTGAATGGTAATTACTCATTTATTCTTTACACATTTATTATTGTTGAGGGCAGGCGCAGTGGCTCACGCCTGTAATCCCAGCACTTTGGGAGGCCGAGGCGGGTGGATCATGAGGTTAGGAGTTCGAGACCAGCCTGGCCAACATGGTGAAACCTTGGTTCTACTAAAGACACAAAAATTTAATTGGGCTTGGTGGCGGGTACCTGTAATCCCAGCTACTCAGGAGGCTGAAGCAGGAGAATCGCTTGAACCCAGGAGGCGTAGGTTGCAGTGAGCCGAGATTGCGCCACTGCACTCCAACCTGGGCGACAGGGCGAGACTCTGTCTCAAACACACACACATACACACACACACGCATACACACACACAAATTTGGGCAGCTTATGATTTTCCTCACGTATTTCTCTAACATATCGTCGTTGAAGTTAAGATAGTGAACATAATTAAAGGATTCCTGGGAAAAACTCAAAGAAGTCATTATATCGCCTGTATTCTTTCAAGAAAGCAAGTTAGAGTCATCTTCAAGGAGGAGTAAATGATAGATCATGGTTAAAATTTAATAACTCCCTTTTAACACGGGACAGTCTCTGACATGTGAACTGTCATCAAATGTAAAAGGATATTTTATTTTATTTTGTTTTGGTGAAGAGGAGGCTGCATCCTGGTATCTTTTACAAACAAGATCCTATTCTATCTCCTTATGAAAGCAGTCTGCCTCCTGCCCATCCGTGCACTCTGTCTTGGCCCCTGGGGAGCCCATGTGCTGGTTGTGAAAGCTGGGAGGGTACCACTATCACGCAGTTGTGCCACAGAATTACTGTGACTCCCTTACCTGAGTTTCTCTTACATTAACTAAATTTTAAAAATATAGATCTGCTTTCTAGATATGCTGTAAGGAACTGGAATCAACTAAAAAAGTATTAAACTTTGAAAGTTAAAAATGAATTTAAAAGAAAATATTATAAGCAGATAATATTCAATCGTGTGGACTTTAATATAATGTGTAAACATCAAATAATGGTGTGAAAGGTTAAAGTGAGAACATCATTAAGGCTCTAAATTAACTTAAATATTTCCATTAGGAGAAAGGCACAAACCATCATAATATTCATACTGAAATGCTGGATTATACTTACATAAGTCCTACCCTAGAGAAATAATTGTACAGGTTTAATGGTAGAATGTGCATTATATTTAACAGACATATTGAACTAGTGTCCAGGTAAAGCATTAGGAAGGTACTTAAATATACAGAGCTAATTAAGGCATATGGACATTCACAATAGTCAGAAAAACAAGAATAAATAAATAAGCAATACAAAAGTGTTTATGTTAATAAATTAATCTATGTTAAATCTACAAGAACACGGAGATGGGAGTGATTAAATCTGCTGAATTTTATGTTGTGTATAGTTGTAAATAACAAGTGTGTAAAAGATGAGAACTTCCATGCAATAGTAAGTTTTATATAGAGATGTTTTTAAAATTAAAAGGAACATATAGGTCTCCCTCAATTTGCACAAATTTTCATAGAAGATGGGATCTATGGCACTTTCGGAAGCTAAGGCTGTTGTGTCTCTTGAGTCCAGGAGTTTGAGACCAGACTGGGTAACATGGTGAAACCCCATCTCTACAAAAAATGCAAAAATTAGCCTGGCATGGTGGTGTGCACCTATAGTCCTAGCTGCTTCGGAGTCTGAGGGGGAAGGGTCACTGGATCCCAGGAGGTGAGGCTGAGAAGAGGAACTGAAGAGGCATACAGGTGTCAGAAAGCATGGAGTTGTGGGGAGCTCCACGTTTTTCAGTATAAATTGACTGTAATTTTTATTTGAGGGAAGAGCACTAGGAGAAGAGGCTGGATCTGGGGCCACATAATGAAGGACTTTAAGTCATGTTCCTAAGTTTAGACTTTCTCTTCTCATTAGAGAGTGACAGTTAAGAATTTTTCACTTTTTGGAATTAGAAGATAAGTTGGAAGGGGATAAGAATGGAGAAGTTTGGACCTGTGGGAAGCCTATTTATTATAGAAGCCAGCTAGGATGGGGACCTGATCCATACAGCAATGACAGTAAAAATGAACTGAAGAAGTTGGATTTTGAATGATATTAAGGAAAAATAATCTAAGGAACTTAACAATTGAATGGGAGGTGGGGGGAAATCAAAATCATTCCAGATTTTGGCTTGGTTAATTAAATTGGGGGGCAGTATAAATCACCTAAATAGGAAACACAGGTTCTGGGGAGTAGCTAATGAGCTAGGTTTTACATGTTGAATTTTAGAAGTAGTGATTCAAGTTTGGTAGTTATGGATATATGAGTCTGAACTCAAGCAGTGTTAAAGTATAAGACTGTGGTTATATACACAAGAGGAAATCCAAAGAGGAATGGAGCCATAGGAGTTGGGTAAGTAAATTACATCAAGAATAAGTGAGGTAATTGTGAGCATGGCCATGAGACTGGGGAATTCTCCGAGTGGGAGATGAACCTAGAGCGATATGAATGAGAGTAGGCAGTCATACTTCCCTTCCTCATGGGAGGATGCTTCCACAACCGTAACCTTGAAATTTTTAAGTATTAAGGGAGTCATCCAAATTTTTAGAGTGCCCCTCAATTCAAATGCACCCCATATGTAGTGGTTGCATTGTGCCAGCTCCAAGCTAGTGGCCTACTTCCACACAGTTCCTTACTCTGCCATTTTTGGTATGCTTTCCACTGCCCCATGCTAATTTCCCTGAAATCTTTCTATTGCTCCAACCTCATTCCTTTCTGATTATACAGACCTACAATATATTTAGTCCTGTACCAGACTTCCATGCTGTCAAAAGTGCAAACTCATGATGATTTTCAGCATTGCTCTTTCAGTAGAAAATATTTATTTGGCTTAAAATATTTTAAGGTGTTTTATTGCTTTCCAACATAACTTTATTTGTTCCAAGAAACATTTTATCAAAATATTCATTTCAAACTGTCGTAATCCTTTTGCATTGTTGCACTGAGCTTTCTGTTTAGTGTCTCATAAGGCAAAAATCATGGTGAGCAGCTGCATTCTCATCTGGAGCACAGGGTCCTCTTCCAAGTTTATTGTTGGCAGAGTTAAGTTATTGGGGTTGTAGAACTGATGTCCCATGGTCTGCTGGATGTCAGATGGGAGGTCATATTCAGCACCTGTCTACTCTCAGGGCTGGTGATCTGAATGGGATTGA